TGTATGGTATATATGTGTACACCGGAGGGGAACCAGGAAGACGACACAGAACTAGAAGGAATCAGGGAAAAACATTTAACAGTGGGACCCATTAGCTGTACTGGACATTGACCAAAATGAACTGAGAAACTTAATGGCATCTATGGGAGGGAGGGCTCAGCGGGAGGGAACAAGTGGGAAAGAGGGAACAGCTGATGCTATGCAAAACAAAAGAAATGTACATACCACCCAATGTGGAAGAAATAACTGCATCACAAAGCACATAGAACTCATAAATGTTATAGACCGTGATAGACAATTTGCTTCAGGAAAGTTAGAATGTGTTTGTGACTTTAACTGAGCATCACTATCCCACAATACTGTGATATTCGGGAAATTATGTAACCACTTAATCACAATAAAAAATTTGAAAAAAAAAATCAGAAAAAAAAAGCTGGTTAGAAACAGTGTAAACAAGAGGCTTGAAACAGGGTAGATGCTGATGGAGGACAGGTAATATTACTTCCCTGTTCCAGACTTTTAAAAGGAGCCAGGCAAACAGAGGCTGTTAATTTAAATTAAAATGTTATCTACTTTAGAGGGAACAAAGGACATCTCACTTTATGCAAAGTGCTCTCTAAAGAAAGACTTCAGTTATAACAGGAGAAAATACCTCACTAAGCTTTATCCTGATGCTTTTATCTAGATCATTCTGCTTCCAGCTGTGAAACTGACTGATGTTTTTGAAGCTCCCAAGGAGCCTCTACTAGTAACCATAGTTACTACATTAAAACAGTACAAAAAAAAAGTAGGAGAGAATATCAATTTGAAGAGAAAAACAGACTTCTTGAATTTTATCCAATTAAGCTAATAGTAACAAGACGTGATTGGACAAGGGCTTCAAGACTAATTTTTCTATAGTTCTTGATATCTCAGTGTGTAGGTCTAGTACCTCAATGGATTACTTTGCCTCATCCAGGAATGATTCTCAATTGCAAATACAGCCATTTAAAATATACAATATTTTTTTCTTTTTCTTTTTCTTTTTCGTCAGTCATGAGGCTTGTACTCTGGGCCTAGGTGCTGTCCTTCAGCTCTTCAGCTCAAGGCTAGTGTTCTACCACTTGAGCCACAGCACCACTTCTGGCTTTTTCTGCTTATGTGGTGCTGAGGAATCAAACCCAGGGCCTCATTCATACGAGGCAAGCACTCTACCACTGAGCCACCTGTCCAGCCCAAAGAGACAATATTTTATCAGGACAGTGCTGAATTTGTTTTCCAACACAGACCCTTACTTGGGAGAAAAAAATTAAGAGCTGGGGGTTACATAGTAATTAACACATGAATTTGAGCCTAAGACAGTATCTCTGGGGCATAACAGAAAGCTGCCCAAATCATTCTTCTCAACAATTTATTTTTTCAAAAGGTTTTTATCAGGTCAGATGTGGTAGCTCATAATTGTAATCCTAGCTACTCAAGAGGATCATGATTTGTGGCCAACCCAAGTAAAAAGTCTGAAAGTGAATTAATAAAAGCTTGTACATACCTGTGATCTCAACTACATGGAGAATGTACATAGGAGGATTACTGTCCAGCCTAGCTAGACTACAAACACAAGAGTCTATTAAAAAATAGTGCTGGGTGAGGTGCTGGTGGCTCATGCCTGTAATCCTAGCTACTCAGGAGGCTGAGATTGAGGATCATGGTTCAAAGCCAGTCAGGGCAGAAAAGTCCATGAGACTCTGATCTCCAATAAAAACGACTAGAAAACCAGAAGTGGCACTGTGGCTCAAGAGGTAGAGTGCTCGCCTTGAGCTGAAGAGCGCAGGGATAGCGCCCAGGCCCAGAATTCAAGCACCATGACCGACAAAAACAAACAAACAAACAAAATAGTGCTGGGTACTTGTGGCTTACATCTGTAATACTAGCTACTCAGGAAGCTGAGGTCTGTGGGATCATGGTTTGAAGCTAACCCCAGGCAGAAAAGTCAGTAAGATTCTTATCTCCAATAAAACAAAAAAACTCCAAAAAGCTGGAAGTGGAACTGTGGCTCAAGTGGTAGCGGCTAGGCTTAAACAAAAGATGCTCAGGGACAGAACCCAGGCCCAGAGTTCACAAAAAAAAAGGGGGGAGGGAGGGGGCTGGTGATAGTAGCCTGGCAAGGATGAAACCTTGAGTTCAATTCAGATGTTCCTCTTTTCACAGTCATTAACAACCTCATGGATCATTAACTAATTTATGCATTTTATATTTGAGGATCTATTATGCATCTGGTCCTGTATAAGATAATGGATATATCACAATAAAGCAAACAGACAAAAGTCATGCCTTGTCCAACCTGGAAGGTCGAGATCAGGAAGACCACGGTTTGTGGCTATCCCAGGCAAAAATGTTAGCAGGACATCACCTCAACCAGTAAAGTAGGTAGGCATGGTGACATGGCTTTTTGGAGGCACAGTCAGATAAATCACAGTTGTAGGCTGGTCACCAGCAAAGTAGTAAAACCCCATCATGAAGAAAATAACTAAAGCAAAAAAGAGCTGGAGGTGTGGCTCATATGTGCCTGCCTAGCAAGTGTGTGTGGTCCCAAACTCAAATTCCAGAACTCTCTTTTGTGTATCATTAGGAGGCCTCAAAAGTTACAAAATAAAAGAAATAAAAGACCTGAAAAGGCGCCAGTGGCTCATGCCTGTAATCCTAGCTACTTGGAAGGCTGAGATCTGAGGACCACAGTTCAAAGCTAGCCCAGGCAGGAAAGTCCCCGTGAGACTCTTATCACCAATAAACCACCAGAAAACCAGAAGTGGCACTGTGGCTCAAATGGTAGAGTGCTGGCCTTGAGCTGAAGGTTGCACAGACAGCACCCAAGCCCAGAGTTCAAGCCCCACGACTGACCAAAAAAAAAAGACCTGAAGCCAGGCATGATGATGCAAGCAAGTAATGTCAGTTACTTCAGAGGAAGAGGTAGGAGGGGTTTGAGTGTAAAGTTAGAAAGATTATCTCAAAACAAAAATACTGGAGGTGTTATCCAAGGGATAGGGTGACTTCAATCTGAAGTATGATTTAAAAAAAAAAAGGAAAGAGTTGAAGATAACTAGATGGCAAAGAAGCAGCAAATAGGGAGGTACATCAGATCAGAGGGCTGGGTTTGTCCTACTTCTAGGTTGCATGTGTGCACAACCAGATATACAGAGTTATCAACTGTTCCCTTAACAAGTCTTTAATTCAATGCATCTGTTTTAAGTCTGTACTATGTTTAATCCTTTAATTTCTTAATGCAATATATTCTAAGGATAATTTGTAAGAATAGCAAAAAATATGCAAAACAAACATCCAAAAGACTAAGACTTTCATACTACAACATTAAAAGAGCCTAATTATGCATCAATAGATAACTAGATCAAAGTAACATCAGTATAGACAAACACATGGAAAGTCTAATATGGTAAAGGGAAATCTAATATGTACTGGTTGACTTTAAAATCTGTTTTATTTTGTTTTTTTGCCGGTCCTGGGGCCTGAACTCTGGGCCTGGGCACTATCCCTCAGCTCTTCAGCTGAAGGCTAGCCCTCTACCACTTGAGCCACAGAGCCACTTCCAGCTTTTTCTGTTTATTTGGTGCTAAGGAATCGAACTCAGGGCCTCATGCATGCAAAGCAAGCACTCTACCACTGAGCCACTTTCACAGCCCTTTACTTTTTTTTTAACCCACTGGTTTTGTTTGCCAGCTTTCTTCAGAAGTCTACCTTTAATACTGATTTTAGAGCAGATTTTAGAGTGCTTGCCTTGAATGCATGAGGCCCTGGGTTTGATTCCTCCTCAGCACCACATAAGTTAAAAGCTGGAAGTGGCTCTGTGGTTGAAGTGGTAGAGCGCCAGCCTTGAGCTGAAGAGCTGAGGGAGAGTGCCCAGGCCCAGAGTTCAAGCCCCATGACCAACAAAAAAAAAAAAGAAAAAGAAAAAGAAATGCTACCTGAATTATTCATTTTAGATTTTAAAAAGTCATATTTCTATAAAACATGACATAAAATTATGAAAGAATATGGACAGCTATGTAGTTATTAAACAGACAAATAAAATAATACCAACAGCCAAAAAACATGTGATAGAAAATACCAAATGGTTATAACTCAAATAGCACCCCTTTCATATCTTTTAGATTCTTTTTAAAAGAAAAAGAAAAAACCCCAATCTATCTGTGAATATATGTTCTGTCTCCCTTAACTAGAAGATGTCATATGTTTGAATATTTTTACACTAAACATGAAGGAAAAATTAGAGCAAAATTACAGCTTTGAATACTGAAAACATTTAAAAGCTTCTACACACAAGAACTCATATAAAATGAACAGAAAAACTGAAAGGGAAAATTCATTTATAGGAAGCAGTGAATACCATTAAAAATTCATAAACTTATATAAAAATTGGTAAGACACCCAATAGGGTAAGTAGAACTCTAAATATAACAAAAAATTAAAATAAAGTAGCAACATGTACCTAAGAGTTTACTAAATGCTGGGTGAGACATCAAGGTGATAATGTAGTAAGACATGCCTGCTCACTGGCTGGGAGGGAAAAAAGCTGACAGCACTCATCAGGCAGCAATCTGACATGGAGTAGCTCTGGGAGGGAATTATTACAATTTAAGAAAAGTTTGATTCCACTTCACATTTGACAGCTGTGCTACTAGACAAGTTGAATACCATTTTTAGCAGCAGTCTCTCCATTGTAAAATATGAACTTGTCAATGTTATTCTAATGATAGTGCAACAAAGCATGGATTGATTCACACAGTCTGTGGACTCTCTGGAAATGCAGACCTTGCAAGTTTATGATTGGACCTGTGTGAATAAACATATATGAAATATACTTCAAAAAGCCCCTTTATCCAAAAGAAAACTGAAAACCACTTTAACACCAGAGCAATGATAAAGTCACCTATTATCTGGCACAGTACAAGCCCAAGTTAGGACTTCACTATGAAAATCCAGGTTAATACTGAAGGTGATCTTGAACTTACCCTGTTTACTTCTAAACTCCTCGGAGTAATATATAGTGATTTCTTAGGAGATTAATTCCTTATCTAATATAGTTGTAACAGGAACCTGAAAGTAAGAAAACAGTATCAGTAAGAAAACAGTATCAACCTGGATCAGTTGCATAAAATTAACTCAATCTAATTTAGAAAAAGGAGGGAGGTTATATTGTTTAATGTATTTATATCACTCTTTTTTTTTTTTTGGTCG